GAGCCAAGAAAGGCAACTCTCAGGTCCAGAACCAGACGCAACACTCGCTCGAGCGAAGCCACCCTGGCTCGACCCACCAGACACGAACCTCACTCTCGCTCGAGCGACCAACTCCTCGCTCGAGCGAAGGTCCAAAAATCTGGGCAGCAACACTAGGCTCCCAAACACAACCAACCTGTAACAAACCTGCCCAACACATCTTATAACTCAATATACCAGTAAAGAGGATGCAAACATGATAATAAACAACTACCAACATCCACGGACACATGTCCGGATCACTGTACAACAAGGGTAAACCCGGGATCGCTATAGTAAAAAATAAATGTCAAAAAAATATTTTATTAAAAATTATTTCTATCCACTAAAAATAAAATTATGTAAAATTGATAAAAATTAATAAAAATTGCATGATTAATTTTACATGATTATCATCTAAATACATAATAAAAATTAATTTGGCAAAAAAAAAATTGTCTAAAAGATTTATCAATTTTATATAATTTTATCTTTAGTAGCTAGAAATAATTTTAAAAAATTTAAAAATAATTTTTTGATATTTATTTTTATCAAATTAATTTATATTTTATCAAATTGATGATTTTGCCCTTGAAAAATTCAATAGTATTTACAATTGTCCTTATTTGGAACAAAATTCAAAATTCAAAATTCAAGGTCAAATGTGTCACAATTAAAAAGTCAGGAACTAAAATGACACAAATCCCAAACTATAGGGACCATTAGTGTAATTCACCCTTTATTTTAGCATGCAAGGTTAAATAATGTTATTTCGAATTTTTTTTGTGGTCATTTATTTATAAATTTCTTTTCATCTATTTATATTTTACTTCATCCAAGTTATGTTTTTATATTTTAATAAATCCTATGGATGACATAATTATTAAAATATCCATAATTATAATATTTACATTAATAATGTGAATGTTCCGTGTTGTTAAGCGTTCAAAAAATATTTATACAGATAAAATTATTCATAAAATAATTTAAATATGATAATTAAAATTTGTTGAATCAAATATTTAAATAATAGGACTTATTAAAATATTTCTTAATAAATTCCTTTGTTTTTGTTTTTTGATTAATCCAGATGTGCAATTTGCAAAGCCTTGGAAGTCAGCATAATTTGCTCAATTTTTCTGTACATAATTGGTTTATGTTTGTACTTGATTTTTTTTTTTAACTCAAATAAAAAATATATATTTTAAGTGTCATCATTACATCCGTGTGGGTCCGTCCAAGTTCGGGGTACTTGATTTAGGTACTGTACTTGTATTAATTGGCATAATGATTTGTTAGGCACTTGCTCATTGGAATGTATGAATAATGCTTGGGATCCTTTTTTGGGGGTCACCCCTTTACCCTTTTGCTAAGTGACAGGAGGTGATTGGTGGAACAGGAAAAAAAGAAAAAGAAAAAGAAAAGGTAACCAATGAGAGAGAGAGGGGGTCAAAGGGGGTGGAGGGAAAAGGGGGATGAATCATTACTCGGAATGTATAAAGGTTGATTGAGATAATTTAAATAAGTGTATTTTTTATTTTTTTTATAAAAAGATGTGTAAAAGAGTAGAGAGGTGATTTGATGAAAAAAAATAAAAAGATAAAAAGTTGGATTATATTGAGGATGCCAAACCACCCCTAAATTAAGCTTTCGGTTGGTTTTTGCGTTATGACTAAATACGCACATAAGGATAAAAAAAAAAAGTCACAAAATCAGAAAATAACAAAATACTTAACTTTTAATGTAAAATTACTAAATTGACCCATGTTCAAACAAAAAGTCAAAAAAGCATCATTTCAAGTTGATAGCAATTTTGTCATTCCAATGTAAAAAAGTCAAAAAAGTCAAACAAGAAAACCAAACGAACAAAAAAGTCTCAGACTAAAAAAGTCAAAAAAATCAAAAAACCAAGCTTGCCAAACGACACCTAAAAATAACAATTAGTGTGTTTGGTTTGAGTTTTTTAAATTAATTTTTTTTATTTTTTTTAGTGAATATTTTTAGAATTTTAATTTTTTTTTACTTTTTTAAATACACCTTACTTAGATGTTTCTAAAAAGTAAAAAAATTGTGAAAAAATATTTTAAAAAATTAATAAATACATAAAAATATAAAAAATGTACTGAATTCTCGTTTTTTTTTGGTATTTAGTGAATTTTTAAAAGGTTTTTTTCACAAATATTTTACTTTTTAGGTATATTTATGTTAGGCATGTCTAAAAAATAAAAAATAAAAAAATTACTTAAAATATTAAAAAAAATTAGTAAAAACAAAAAAATATGAAAAATAAGAAAGTGAAATTTTCTAAAAAATTTTTTTAGAAAACTCTAACCAATCAAAATGAATAAAATTGTAAAAGCATTTTGAATTGTATAAAAATATATAAAAATGTTTTAAATTATGTAAAAAAGACATTGAAATTTGGGGCACCAGTAAGCCTCATACATAAAGTTCAAAGTTCATTTAATTCCAAAATAAAACATTTACACCAATTAATTTTATATATTTTTAATTGTTACCAAAAAATTCTTTTTTTCTTTTCGTTTATAACTTTAAAAACGTGCTACATCTCACCATCGCCAAATTTCCGTCAAATGGTCACCGGAAACTTGTCAGAATATTCAACATCACTGGGAAGTCTTCGGAGTATCGCCGGAAGTTCGTCAGAGTATCGCCGAAGTGTTCTGAACGTCACTGGAAGTCACTGGAATGTCCAGAATTTTCATTAAATGTCAAGAACATCATCAGAAACTCACCGGAATG